TCTAGAAGTTTCGATATACTGGCAACGTATGCATGTTGAGATTAACTTATTTTTCAAGATTCTCGTACAATACTGGTGATCTTGCAATGAAGTTAAATTTTATCTATACTGCTTAATTGACAAAATCTTGTAGTAAAAATAAAAATGATAAAGGTTCATTGTCTTTTGTCATTTGTTTCATTTCAAATTGTCTCAAGGAGAAATGATAAAGATTTCGCCTGATCTCACAGAAGCTTGAGGAAAAAAATACAAGAAATTAATATACTCAGTGAATGTGAATTAAAATAAAAATTTACGGTTTTTAAAACTAAACTTGTTGTAAAAACTTATGATAAAAACAATTGCTTCAAGAATAAGATCCAACATAAAATTTCTCACTTTCAAAAAGCTACAATGACCGGAAAGATTGAAAACAAATTTCAATTTTCAATGCCGGGAATCTATACATACAACCTTGTCTTTTATTTGTTTTAATTTCCAAAATGAGCTATTTAGATTCATAATATTTCATCCTGTTTTGAGAAATACTTTATAGTTTTCAACGGAAAATTATTTCTTAGATTCTAAATCAATTTTTGAATTAAAAACTTATTTGTATTTCATATTTACTGTCTCGTTTATTCAAAACACGTGAGGTAGTAATAACGGGGATCGTATTTTATGATAGGTTAAATGAATGTAAAACGTTTTAGAATCAAAAACTTTAATTCATATATTATACCTATAATTTTAATTTTCTTATATTTTAAATATTCAGAAATAATGAATCCACAAACTAAATGGAATAATTTGTATACGCTCGTCTTAGTCGGGACACATAATGGTATAAAGAAGTCCGTCCGTGCTAATGTCTGCCCGTCTGTCAACAGTAGCGAAAGAGTGCGCTAGGGCGAAGTTCTGAAATTGACGCGACAAAAAAACCCACTCATCTAGTCTAATATAGTCAAATAGTCTGTAAGAAAGCCAGTGTCATCTTTCATTTCTCTTTTTATTTTCAATGATTTTGCTAATGAGAGGGAGAGGACAAAAACAGACTTTCCTTTCTAAAGCGTCGTAAAAGGTTATTTCGAACAATTTTTCATTCCGACGGATGGTGTTTCTGAAGGTTAATTTTGTGCGGCAACAACATCATGAGATCTGATACTGATACATACATGTGATCTCTTGTATTACCGGATAATAAATTAAAGTAGGTGAATGTAGTTGTTATTCTTGATTCTTGAAAATTTAAATGTGGGTTTCAAACGTCCAATTTGCAATGTTTTTCAAACAGTGCGCCAGCAAGGAAAACTTGTACTATGACGTCAGATTCAATGTTCTGGAGAAAGACAACTCTTTTCTTCAAAACGAACGAGAAAAAAACATGAAAATTAATCATAACTTTTTTGAAAGGTCGGTGACATATACATTTTTTTGCTTTATTTTGAAGAGTACTCATGGCACTTTCCTTCTTGAATTTTTTATGAAAAAATCACTGGTAGATATTTTTTAATACTTGAAACGTTTTTCATTCTTACGTTTTTCATTCTTGCGTTTTATTTTTGGCTGGAATGAAATAAATCATATTTTTAAAGATCAAAACAATAAGAGTCTTAAACTCTTAAACCTGTATTTGATAGACACAAATCTACTGTTTAACATGAAACAAGAATTATGCTTGTAGGTTTGATATAATGGGATTTTTTGAGAGTTTAAATAACAAACAAATATCACGTTAATATTCGGGAAAACACGAAACTGAGGTTGCTATAGTGACAAAACTAAGTCGGTGACTCCCAATTTTTTTTATCATATTTTGTTCCTCAAATCATGAAATACCTTCACACAAAATTTTAAGGAAAAATCACTGGTAGAACTGAATAGGCATTTGGTCTTTAACACGGGAATAAAACACTTCAGGACAAAAATATCATATGGTCACGGTGTAATCCAAATAATTTACCCGAACTAAACACATTAACGTGGTCTTCTAATTGCATAATTGCATTTCTAGAAAAAAAAATGTTTTTAAAAAATAATTACAAAAATATAAGAATTATTGTTTTGAATAAAATGTAATTATAACCATTAAGAATTTATACATTCAAGTAACCTGCATCCAAGACTAAGTATTTGACCCTTCTTAGTCAAATATTCCTTACAGGAAAAAATCCGGCTTATTGCCCTGTCTTTTCCAATTACTAAACCTGTTTTAAATGTCGTGATTAAGAAATGTTCTACCCTAGAATAGATTCGGACAATTCTAACCAAGAGCACATTTAGACAGTTCTACCCTAGAACAGACCGTGGCGTCAAATATTGGACAGGAAACTTACTGTTATACCATGCTGATTCTTACATTCTACCTAAACAGTGCTGGACAGTTCTACCCTAAGCAGATTTAATAAAATACTCCGCAGGGCGCAGCTTGATACGACCGCAGAGGTCGAACCCTGAACAGTTGGGGCAAGTATGGACACAACATTCAAGCTTGATACAGCTCTGAATTTTGATTGTGATTAAATATTTGACACAGCATAGGTTTCTGACACAGAATGAATGTGGTCTAAGAACTTAAAAATTTTAAATTGGACATTCACCTATTATGGTCCAATATCCAAAATCTAAATACATGGTTAGATTCAGCATATCAAAGAACCCCAAGAATTCAATTTTTGATGAAATCAAACAAAGTTTAATTTTGGACCCTTTTGACCTCAATGTGGACAAAGTTGATAACGGGGCCCAAAAATCAAAAATCTAAATACATGGTTAGATTCAGCATATCAAAGAACCCCATATATTCAATTTTTGTTGAAATCAAACAAAGTTTAATTTTGGACCCCGATTTGGACCTACTTGAAAACTGGGCCCATAATCAAAAATCTAAATACATGTTTAGATTCAGCATATCAAAGAACCCTAAAAATTCAATTTTTGTTAAAATCAAACTAAGTTTAATTTTGGACCCTTTGGACCTTAATGTAGACCAATTTGAAAACGGAACGAAAAATTAAGAATCTAAATACACGGTTAGATTCGGCATATCAAAGAACCCTAATAATTCAATTTTTGATGAAATCAAACCAAGTTAAAGTTTGGACCCTTTGGACCTCAATGTGGACCAATTTAAAAACGGGGCCCAAAATCCAAAAACTTAATACACGGTTAGATTCAGCATATTAAAGAACCCCAAGAATTCAAGAATAAAACCCCATTGAAATTGATCAAGAAATAAGCAATTTATACGTAGTATCTTCTTTTGCACAATACTGTGCAATTGAATATTTCTTGCTATTGCACAATACTGTACAATTGACAATTTCTTGCTATTGCGCAATATTGTGCTATTGGATATGTCTTGCTATTGCGCAATACTGTGCAATTGAAGATTTCTTGCTATTGCGCAATACTGTGCAATTGAAGATTTCTTGCTATTGTGCAATACTGTGCAATTGAAAATTTCTTGCTATTGCACAATACTTATTATATAATAATTTACACATCCTGTTTGGTGTGTATCTCCTACTATATCATTATTATTTGCTTTTAAATAGAAATCAGAAATAACCAACTTAAAATGGAAAATTTTAAAAGAAAAAAAAAAGGAAAAAAAGAAAAAAAAAAAATCCCCCCCCCCCCCAAATTTTTTGAACCCCTTATGATTCATCACCCCCAAACTCAATCCCAGCCTTCCCTTTGTGGTATGGTACCTTGCAGTACAATTTCAGAGAGATCCATACACTTGAACACAAGTTATTGTCTGGAAACTAGAAAAAATGCTTATTTTTGGCCCCTTTTTGGCCCCCAATTCCTAAACGTTTCGGCAATTACCCCCAAACTCAATTCCAGCTTTCCCTTTGTGATATGGAACCTTGTAGTACAATTTCAGAAATATCCAAACACTTACACACAAGTTATTGTCATGAAACTAGAAAAATGTTTGTTTTTTGCCCCTTTTTTGGCCCCTAATTCCTAAAATTTTGAGGCAATTACCCCCAAAATCAATTACAGCCTTCCTTTTGTGATATGGAACCTTGTAGTACAATGTCAGAGAGATTCATACACTTACACACAAGTTATTGTCTGGAAGTTACAAAAATGCTTATTTTGGCCCCTTTTTGGCCCCTAATTCCTTAACTGTTGGTACCATAACCCCCAAAATCAATCCCAACCTTCCTTTTGTGCTATTGAACCTTATGGTAAAATTTCATGGAGATCCTTTCACTTAAACTAAAGTTAGAGTGCGAAAACCAATGTGTCTTCGGACGACGCCGGACGACGACGACGACGACGCCAACGTCATACCAATATACGACGAAAAAATTTTTAATTTTTGCGGTCGTATAAAAATCACTGTTTTTGTGTAGAAGAAAGGCGGGAGAGACTAAAGGGAAAGTCAAAATCGACAGTCGAAACGATCTAACAATGTCATGGCAAAAAATAAACTAGAAACAAATAAAAGACAAACATTACTCTACAGAACACAACATAGAAAACTAAAGAATAAGTACACGAACCCCGCAGAAAAACCGTGGGTGATATCAGGTGTCCCGGAAGGGTAAGTAAAAGAATTGAGTACAGTTCTATAACATATTATTCCGACATTTCTGAAGAGAGAACAGAACTTATACCACCATTCGAAATATATAATACTTTAAATTTTATAGCATTACTAAGTTTAAAAGTAGTCAAAAGACAAACAAAATATTACTTAAAATTTGCACTCTTCCACTTCTAGATCTCAAAAAAATGTTTCAAACATATACTTAATCAATTATACTTTAGTTCATTTTTTCCTGTCTTACTGGCATGACTGGGTAAAAGTTCTTACTTATATTCATATATCAAGATTTTTATTGTCTTGTATTTTGTATTGCTACATAATTATGGTTTTAACTTAACCTTTGGGTATTTTCCGACAACCACTTCGCATAAACTACATTGTTAAGGAATTAAATTCATAACTTTAATCTAAACGCATTACCTGGAAGCTCAAATTTCTAATTTAATTAACATACCTATTGTATAAGTTCCAAACAATGGTCTAACTGTTGATGAAATCTTGCAATTTTCAGGCAATCTAATAGAAATAAGGATAACATATAGCACAGGTAAAAGGCTGAATGTACAGTTACTGTAAAAGGTTCTTTATACTGTTTAAATATGTTGCTTGCAAAATAGAATGTTCTGGTGATTGTACACAAACTAGAAAACTGTTAATGGATGTCAAAAGAAGAGTCCGCAAAGTATAAGCCTCGTGAACATGTTAGTGTTTGACTCTAACAATGGATTTGACATTTGATTTGTAAAGGTTTCTCTTTTTGACTGATTTGGTATGTACATTTCAAATATAATAACTACTGTTGTTTGTTTTGTATTTCAATATTTCAGTTGTAGTTAGTTTAACAAGGTTTAAGTTGAAAGATCAAGCTCGTCCGTCTTTGATCAGCTCGTATCAGTTTAAATGTATCATCCATCTTAGTTTTATCCGCAGAACGCAGACTCCTCCATAAATAAAACAGTGGATACGCTAAAATATCCTGAATGTTTTACTGATTATAATCAATTTTTGGTTAGGAGTCATTGAAATTAAGGTTAAGCGACTACATTGATATTAAACCTTTACAGGGGTTGATCATTGGTGAAAATTAGGATAATGACAGGCGAACCCTGTCAGATAGGCCATGAAGACGAAACAATATGAGAAACATTAAACATTATAAGTGATCGAATAAAGAAAATGAAGTATTGATCAATCAATCATAAGAAATAAGGTCACGGTTAGTTCAACCCTGTACGACTCTTGTTGTGCTGTTACACCACCTTCACATTTTTTTGGGGGGTTTAAAGAAAAATTGTGTATCCCCATTACATTCTGTATGAGCCTGTCCCAAGTCAAGAGTATGTGATTCGGTGGTTATCGTTGGTTGGCTTGTGTCAAATTTGTTAACCGTTTTTTTGTTCTTCAATAAATTATGTCGTTGGTTTTCTCTCTAGAACTCTTCTACATTTTGTCAAGTTGTGACCTCGTATACTTTACTATACGATATTAGTTTGCTTATTGTTTAAGTCCGTATGGTGACCCATAGTTGTGGCCTACATCCACGTCCGTCGTTTAGTCTCTGGGTGATATTTATTTATTTCGAAATCATACCACATCTAGTAATAGTAGTGTAAAGAGAAATAAGAAGATGTGGTTGAGTGCCAATGAGACAACTCTCCACCCAAGTCACAATGTGTAAAAAGTAAACAATTACAGGTCAAAGTACGGCCTTCAACACAGAGCCTTGAGTTACATCGAACAGCAAGCTATAAAGGGCACGAAATGACTAGTGTAAAACAATTCAAACAGGAAAACCAACCTTCTAATCTATAAAAAAAACGAGAAACGAGTAAAACTTATGAGCCAAGCATGCGGTTCTGTAACCTTACAATTAATGTAATCCGGGAATTTTCGAGGAAAGGTTAATAAATATTCTCACTGTACACGCAATACATATACAATCGCTAAATTCTCCCAACACGAAATGATTTTATTGACAGAATAAAGAAAAACAATTTCTTTTTTTCCATATCTTTTCATTTTTTGCCGTATTTATTTCTGAATTGAATTAAAATATTATAATCTGAGACAGGAAAATATCGAAACTAAAACTTCGCAAATATAGTTTTGCCACTAGAAATCATGCAATTTAAACTTCATGAAAATAAATCAACCTACAAATTCTACATGTTAGTCCTAAATATAGAAAATGAAAATACCACTTTATAAATTTAGTGCTTTAAAAGCTCTTTCTAGATTGACCCTAATCATGACTATCGATTATTGCTAAGCATTTGAAATGTACGTGAACAGTATACTAGTACTTTCAAATGTGATAAGCTATGTCACCAAAGGGAACATCAAAAGAATAGTCAAACCCATCTAAGGTCGATTCGCACTGAAGGAGTTCGAACCTTAGTTTTTCTTAGTATTTTCTCAATTTATGAATTGACAGTTTAAAGAAACTTAAGGTTATGTCTGAAATCTTGCCAGTACAAAAGCATTATTACTTATAGTAATCCTACCTAATGAAGGAAATGTAACGTTAAAACCTTAAGTATGAAATATGGTTAGGTCGAATACCTGTTTGAGGTCGAGGGCAACTAACTTATGTCACACTAAAATTATCAGACCAAAAGGCGTCTGTATACAGGATAATGCTTATATTGCTCCTACATCATCTTATCGATAAATGACGCATTTTACTTTAAGTATTACTGTCGACGCCATCAGACTAGCATCCGCCTGTTTCACATTTTGTGATATTCGTCGGCAGCGCGATAAAATTAACATCACATCCCTCGTTATATTGGTTGTACCATTCATAGAATTCACTTTTTACAAAACTCTGTACACGTTTTGTTGGTTTCTTAGATGTGATGGAGGACAGTGATAGTTTGCAACACTACATTTTAAACCGCAACCATGTTTGACAATAGAAACCTAAAACAGTTATGCATTTAACATTATCAGATGTAAAAGTAATTTATTTCAACCTCTATTTACAAGAAAGTTTTTTATCAGCTTCTGCAGAGTGTCACTATAGGACTTTGAGTTATTGTGTAGTACGCTATAAAGTTGAAAAAGGTGCCACATAATACACTTTTATGCAAAGGTTACACTTACATGACAGTCTCAATTGGTTGGCAGTTAAAACTAGTTTTCCACTCATTCTCATTAAGACATTCATGATCTGCAAGAATAAATTATATGTTAGTACATATAAGGAGTATTTTAATATCAAACTGATTATTCTTAGAATACGTGTTGTAATGTTTCAACCCGATTTGAAATAAGCCTGAGTTTATCTAATATTTCTGTATATTGAAATATAAATGGGTGTTATATATGGAATGTATGCAAAATTTAACAAAAATCTGTAACATAGCCGATTTACTGTACCTCATATATAACCTCTTTAAAAAATACTTAATCCCTTAAGATTCTTGCCGAACAGTCTACTTATTTGATTTGCCATTACACAGTCTTTCTGACATACATTGTACCTGGTGATAAAATGTGATTAGCTGAACAAATCTTGGGATAACAGGAACAATCTTCTTCAGATGGTTCACAATAGCATCGATTTTTTGGTCTGATTATAAAATCATAACCTTTCGTATAATCACAGCGGCACAGTTTGTCATTTTTCTCAGTTCCATTGCTATAAACCACTTGTCCTTCCTCATTGCAGTAAGATTTTTTATAAACGCAGCGACTGTTCCCAGAAGACAGGAATTTAAAAGGTTGATAGAAATCATTTTCACAATGAGCTCCTTGCAGTGTCCCGTTAAATGACCCAGCAACTATAAGTTTATGCCCTAAAAGTATAAGAAAATATGTAATTTTACAAATAAGATAATTTTATTAATATATTTGTCAAATAATGACCATTAATGACAATAATTTTGAACAAGTAATTGAAAAAAAACATCTCTGGTGATTGAACGAACAGACAAAACGGAGGTTCATCCCAGTATATATATATATAGAACACACAGCATTCACCAGAGAACAACGACGGTTGGTAGTTGTTTGGACATTTGAACCAGATTTATAGTTTATAAATAATCTAGTGGCTTGCTGCAATCGATCAACACTTAATGATACTATAACTATCCTTTTGACACGCTGTTATCAACTAACAACATTTAATATCCTTGCAGGAATAAATGCTTGCACACCAAAAAAATCTGGTTTATTACAATATTATAATAACAATTAACCTATAAAGCTCGGTTAACTGTCCAAGTTACAAACATATCAAATTATTTGCAAGATGTCTTTTACAGTTCTAAAAAATGCAGAAGAAGCGTATTTCAAACGAATATCACTTCAGATTGATGAAGGCAAAACTTCGCATTCTTGCAGATAAAAAAAATCGCGAATTCTAGTTACCATTATGAAAGAGGAGCGGTAGATACTAAATGGATATTCAAACTCATAAGTCGATGACCAACTGAAAACGCCATGGCAAAAGCAGAATAATAATAACATGTAATTCCAGAATATTTTCCAGGATTTGACCTAGAAATTCGTTTAATTTCAAGGACAGTACGTAAAAAAGATTAATGAAACAATTAGTTTTCTTTTATTGTCAGACAATTTGAAAAAAAACATACAGTTAAAAGAAATATGTTTTCTCACTAACACTTCAACGACTATAATCATGGTCAGTAATTTGAGAGTTGTGTTATATACGAATGAAATCCTGTCTTTTATAAGTTTTTCAAAGAGATTACAAGTAATTTGTGAAGGTAAATAACTTGAAATTGAGAACGAGGAACACTCTGTCCTTCCTATGAATGCTGCTGTCAATGTAAAATTTGTATGTTGACTACCAAAACATGTGCTAGTTAAATGTAAAATAAATGTGGATAGTGTCCACATGTGGACACAGATGATGCCCCCTCTTGCATATCATATAGTTATAAAGGGACATAACTGAAGAACGGTAAAAGTGACACTACTCAAATTTGAACTTGATCTGAGTTTTGTGGTAATAAGCATTGTGTGTAAGTCTCATAACATTTGGTTGAGGCTAACTTAAGTAGAGAACAGAAACTAAAAAATCAGCAATTTTCTATTTGTATACACGCATAACTGTAGAACGGTTGTGTATAAGTTTTATAACATTTCGTTGAGACAAACTAAAGTTAGAGAACGGAAACGAAAAATTCAGCAATTTTTATGTTTATAAAGGGACATAACTCAAGAATGGTAAAAGTGTCGCTACCAAATTTATTTTTTTTGTACTTAATCTGTATTTTGTAGTAATAAGCATTGTGTATAAGTTTCATAACATTTGGTTGAGGCAAATTAAAGTTAGAAAACGGAAACAAAAAATTTGTACTTGATCTTAGTTTTGTGGTAATGAATATTGTGTATAGGTGTGTAAAAATAACTTGATATTTAGAAGAAAATAAAAATTTTGCAATTTTTCTATTTATAAAGGGGCATATCTCTAGAAAGTTTAAAGTGACGCCATCAAAATTCAAACTTGATCTGTGTTTTGTGGTAATAAGCGTTGTGTATAAGATTCATAACATTTGGTTGAGGCAAACTTAAGTTAGAGAACGGAAACTAAAAATTTTGCAATTTTTCCATTTATAAAGGGGCATAACTCTAGAACGGTTAAAGTGAAGCCTCCAAAATTCAAACTAAATCTGTGTTTTGTGGTAATAAGCATTGTGTATAAGTTTCATAATATTTGGTTGAGGCAAACTTAAGTTAGAGAACGGAAACTAAAAATTTTGGAATTTTCCATTTATAAAGGGGCATAACTCTAGAACGGTTAAAGTGACGCCTCCAAAATTCAAACTTAATCTGTGTTTTGTGGTAATAAGCATTGTGTATAAGTTTCATAACATTTGGTTGAGGCAAACTTAAGTTAGAGAACGGAAACTAAAATTTTGGAATTTTCCATTTATAAAGGGGCATAACTCTAGAACGGTTAAAGTGACGCCACCAAAATTCAAACTTGATCTGTGTTTTGTGGTAATAAGGATTTTGTATAAGTTTCATAACATTTGGTTGAGGCAAACTCAAGTTAGAGAACGGAAACCAATTTTGGGACGTACGTACGTACGTTCGTACGTACAGACGGACAAGGGTAAAATGTAATGCCCCCACCGCTACGGCGGGGGCATAAAAATACAAAAACGAATATGTTTACAAAACACAACACTACAAAGAGACTGAGCTACACGAGCCCCATCAAAAAACGTAAATGGTAAAGAGATCCTGTTCCACATGTACCACCAATATGTGCTCATGTAAACTTGTACAAACTAGGTGATAAATCTAACTAGGTGACGTCTCATACGTGGACAAAGACAACGGAACATATCCGTCGTTTTTTGTGAAACTGATATTTTAAAACGGTCAAAAACTCTTGATGGAGTCTGTTAAATTTTCGAAAGGATGACGTTGACTTCACCAATTGAAACCGTGGCTTAAATCATCTCCTTTGTTAACTGCAAAACTTTCTTAAATGATAAATGAAAAAACTCTAAATCCATTTGTAAATACAAAAGTGAATAAAATGCAGGGCGCAGCTTGATACGACCGCAGAGGTCGAACCCTGAACAGTTCGGGCAAGTATGGACACAACATTCAAGCATGATACAGCTCTGAATCTGGATTGTGATTAAATATTTGACACAGCATAGGTTTCTGACACAGAATGAATGTGGTCTAAGAACTTAAAACTTTTAAATTGGACATTCACCTATTATGGTCCAATATCCAAAATCTAAATACATGGTTAGATTCAGCATATCAAAGAACCCCAAGAATTCAATTTTTGATGAAATCAAACAAAGTTTAATTTTGGACCCTTTTGACCTCAATGTGGACAAAGTTGATAATGGGGCCCAAAACTCAAAAATCTAAATACATGGTTAGATTCAGCATATCAAAGAACCCCATATATTCAATTTTTGTTGAAATCAAACAAATTTTAATTTTGGACCCCGATTTGGACCAACTTGAAAACTGGGCCCATAATCAAAAATCTAAATACATGTTTAGATTCAGCATATCAAAGAACCCTAAGAATTCAATTTTTGTCAAAATCAAACTAAGTTTAATTTTGGACCCTTTGGACCTCAATGTGGACCAATTTAAAAACGGGTCCCAAAATCCAAAAACTTAATACACGGTTAGAATCAGCATATTAAAGAACCCCAAGAATTCAAGAATAAAACCCCATTGAAATTGGTCAAGAAATAAGCAATTTATACTGTGCAATTGAATATTTCTTGCTATTGCGCAATACTGTACAATTGACAATTTCTTGCTATTGCGCAATATTGTGCTATTGGATATTTCTTGCTATTGCACAATACTGTGCAATTGAAGATTTCTTGCTATTGCGCAATACTGTGCAATTGAAGATTTCTTGCTATTGTGCAATACTGTGCAATTGAAAATTTCTTGCTATTGCACAATACTTATTATATAATAATTTACACATCCTGTTTGATGTGTATCTCCTACCATATCATTATTATTTGCTTTTAAATATAAAACAGAAATAACCAACTTAAAATGGAAAATTTTAAAAGAAAAAAAAAAGGGGAAAAAAAAGAAAAAAAATGAAAAAAAAAAAATCCCCCCCCCCAAATTTTTTGAACCCCCTTATGATTCATCACCCCCAAAATCAATCCCAGCCTTCCCTTTGTGGTATGGTACCTTGCAGTACAATTTCAGAGAGATCCATCCACTTGAACACAAGTTATTGTCTGGAAACTAGAAAAATGCTTATTTTTGGCCCCTTTTTGGCCCCTTATTCCTAAACGTTTTGGGCAATTACCCCCAAACTCAATTCCTGCTTTCCCTTTGTGATATGGAACCTTGTAGTACAATTTCAGAAAGATCCATACACTTACACACAAGTTATTATCATGAAACTAGAAAAATGCTTGTTTTTTTGCCCCCTTTTTTTGACCCCTAATTCCTAATATTTTGAGGCAATTACTCCCAATATCAATCCCAGCATTCCCTGTGTGATATGGAACCTTGTGGTACAATTTCAGAGAGATCCATACACTTGAACACAAGTTATTGTCTGGAAACTAGAAAAATGCTTATTTTTTGCCCCTTTTTGGCCCCTTATTCCTAAACGTTTTGGGCAATTACCCCAAAACTCAATTCCAGCTTTCCCTTTGTCATATGGAACCTTGTAGTATAATTTCAGAAAGATCCATACACTTACACACAAGTTATTGTCATGAAACTAGAAAAATGCTTGTTTTTTGTCCCTTTTTTGGCCCCTATATCCTAATATTTTGAGGCAATTACCCCCAAAATTAATCCAGAATTCCCTGTGTGATATGGAACCTTGTGGTACAATGTCAGAGAGATCCATACACTAACACACAAGTTATGTCTGGAAGTTACAAAAATGCTTATTTTTGGCCCCTTTTTGGCCCCTAATTCCTTAACTGTTGAGGCAATTACCCCCAAAATCAATCCCAACCTTCCTTTTGTGGTATTGAACCTTATGGTAAAATTTCATAGAGATCCATTCACTTAAACTAAAGTTAGAGTGCGAAAACCAATGTGTCTTCGGACGACGCCGGACAACGACGACGACGCCAACGTCATACCAATATACGACCGCAAAATTTTTTGCGGTCGTATAAAAATGAAAAACAAAAACAGATTTGAAATGTTGCTTCAGATCATAAACATGATAAAGAAGTTTCTGAAAACAAAAGTATAAAAATCTATAAAGGTTTGACAAAGCTATTGATGTTGACATCTAATCTAAGACTATATCAAAAGCAAACAAGGAAGCATCATAGGTAACTTGAATGCAGTTGATACCAGGGGACGATGCCTCAAGGATATAAGAGAACATTTGAATAAATAATATATCTTAACAATTATTTTTTTTTTCTTAATCGGCTAGTATGTTTGTGATATTCAGATGAATATAATTTTCTATGTCCAATCAAATGTATATACACACATAGATTTCCTTTAACTAATCTTCACTAAGGAAGATGTTTGTATATAAAATTACATATTATTTTAAGTAACTCAACATTTTATACACTAAATAACCAGATAATTTTGCTTTGACTGCTCATATTTGAAGCCTATAAGAAGGCAACTGACAATTTGCAGATCTTGTCTTGAAGATCATTTTAAAGATTCTATCTTTGGATTATTACAGTTTTCAAGATAATGGTAAAAAAATAAAAAAATATAAAAATTCGCCATTTAAGGGCAATATCTCCTATAAGAAGCAGTCTTACAGTTTTGATGTAACCGTACAGTATAGGTAAATCTCAACATTTTGAACATGTCTGTCGTGATAGATTTTCTCCATCTATGACGGTTTTCACGATAAATAAACAAAAATTGCTTTTTATTCCTACACAATGTATGTTCCATTTTTAGCCATGTTAGTTGGCAACACATTTATTTAGAACCAGATACCCCAATGATGATAACGGACGATGACAAGAAACGCTCACCTGACCCTTTTAGTCGAAATCAAAATGTTACTCTGGATACCATTGTTAATACAGTTTCATAAAATGCCATTAGGGTTTTTGAAAAAAGTCTTGAATCACAAACTAAACCTACATTTTTACGACACTGACGACTGCTACAACTACTGAATATATCATCACAATATCTTGCTTCCGCGACTTTTGTCTTCGCATGTTCTACATAAAAATTCTTAACATTAACAATTAAAGGGATTTTCACACTCACGATATATCTCAGCCAAAACAAATAAGCTACGATTTCGCGTATTTTTTGGGTTCAAAATTTATATGTAGGATTAGAACCATGATCTGATAAAACGAGTATATTCCTTTGAAATACAGATTTTTTTTCTCCAACTCAATACCTAAGTGATTAAGGCACTTTTGAATACTTGATCCTTTTATTTTTAAATACACGATACAGATACGTTTACATATGAACTAAGTATTACGTAAGAAAGCGTATTACCTGGTGCTTCAAAATCAAATTTTCTCCTACAAAATTCAGTAAAGTTCTGATCCTTCCGATATTGATCAAACAAGCAAAAATAGCTATCGACAGGACCACAGCGCGCTTCTGCTCTATGTTTCCAGTGGGATTGAACAGGACACTGAAAGTTAAAAACGGCCTCAGATATCTTCCATAATGACATTAACTGAAACAAAAGTTAAGAAAGCATTTACTTAGTTGACATAAGTTTGTGTATGTTATAATTAAAAATAGGTTTTGGTCAGTAAGACACCAAACGAAATTGTATAGATCATGCATGGAAAATCCATTTTTTTGTGATAAAAAGAAAACTAAACAATAAAATCTTAAAAGATAAAATATGAGAAGATAGCTCGTATGATGTACGATACTGTTGTCAGGTCATTAAAGATTGCATATTTTGGCTTTAATATTGATTCACTTATAGGGTCTTTGCATCGGAATTAAACATATTTATTCTAAAACCAGTTGTTGGCATGACACGGGTTATGTTCTTCTCATATATTTTATGATGGTATAATACTAAACCCCTAAAAGGAGGGATTGTGCCTGATATTCATATGATGAAGACATAATCTTTCAATCAGTTTAATTGAGGTCTGGAGCTGGCATGTCAGTAACTGCTAGTAGTCTGTTGTTATTTATGTATTATTGTCATTTTGTTTATTTTCTATTGTTTCCTATTCTGACATCGGACTCGGACTTCTCTTAAACTGAGTTTTACTGTGCGTACTGTTGTACGTTTGTTTTTTCTACATTGGCTAGAGGTATAGGGGGAGGGTTGAGATCTAAAAAAACATGTTTAACCCCGCCGCATTTTTGCGCCTGTCCCAAGTCAGGAGCCTCTGGCCTTTGTTAGTCTTGTATCATTTTTAATTTTAGTTTCTTGTGTATAATTTGGAGTTTAGTATGACGTCCATTATCACTGAACAAGTATACATATTTGTTTAGGGGCCAGCTGAAGAACGCCTCCGGTTGCGGGAGTTTCTCGCTGCATTGAAGACCCATTGGTGGCCTTCGGTTGTTGTCTGCTATATGGTCGGGTTGTTGTCTCTTTGACACATTCCCCATTTCCATTCTCAATTTTATTTCAGAAAAGAGAAAAAGAAAAAATTGGGTCACGCGACTCGTTTTTTTTGCTACAAAACAGAATAGGTAAACTCATGACAGATTCCTTTATAAAAGTAACATTATCTTAGTTATCTCCAATATATATGCATATGGCAAAGTTGAAGAAATTGATTCAAACAAAAAATATTCTATTTTTGTATAAAAAAAAAACAGAGACATTCGTCGAAATATGAGGAACCACACAATTTTCCATGCCCTTGAAACATTTTACAATGAATTACTTTCTTCTCTCGACATTTGCACATTTCATTAAAGATCTAGACCAACTGTTTCTTGCAATTTTTTACAATCAATGATGGAAGAAAACAGCCGATCTACCTTAACACCATTTTTCGTAAATAGAAACCCCATCTAAAAATTAACAACAGAAAAACAAACAAAAAGTAAACGATAAATAAAACAAATCAAAACAACAAAAACAACAACATAGCACACTGTCGAACACATTATTTTGCCTTTATTAGACATGTCAAAAGATTGGGTGATGTGCACATTTAACAACACCTCCTATGACATACTTGGACAGAGGTTACTCATAATCAGTGGGAAAACCATAAGACATAAAGTTTAAGCTTGAATTACCACATTTTGCTAAGGGGACGACCATTTGATATTCTGGGGGAAGGGGGGCAGGAGTATTTTGAAAATAAATAACTCAGCCTTGATAATCACAAAAATTAATGGTTTGTTCTGTGGTAGTTCGAAAATAGATAACCTGACTTACAATGTATTGAAAATGAATAACTCGGCAGGTCTTTAAGCCATTTTATAAATGCTATTCGAAGGTTTGAAGTGGCACCAAATTCTTCATAAAATTCATCTTTTTTTCAAAAAAAAATTCGGGAAACACTTCCCAAATCTTTTAATAATAAAGGTATAAATATTATTCAAATATACTTGAAATGTCTGAAAATGGGTTTCATTTAACTTGAGGTATATTGGCTCAGGAACACTTACCTCACTTTAATTACAGGGCTGTAACTACATTGAGGCAAATGCCTTTATGTAGGAAATTTTAAAACCAAAAGCTTGTCTTCATATCAAATTGTTTTCACAGCGAGTGTTTGCAAGAAGCAAGTTCTGTTCTCCCTTGGACGTAGCACCTGTTTTTTCGGGATCAATGTTTCTTTAAATTTGTCTTTTGTTCATTGATTGCCCTTCTGTATTCTCTTAGTGTTACATTCCTTTTGTGATTTAGTAATTTTGTTTTCAACTTGATCATGAGTTTTATTTTATTTAAGACTTTTTAGCTAATTTTACAACTTAATTACTTTAAATTGTATCCCAGTTAAGAGCTACATCAAGTTGTAATTGAAATGTGTTATTAAAAATTACTTGACATAGTTATATCACTGATAATCAGCCCCCTCTTAACTTAATTTGAATAAAACCCCATATAATTTACAGGTATAAAAGATTTAAATTCTGCATGCCGAAACGACAACAAACAAAAAAAAAACAAAAAAAAAAAAAAAAAACAGCAGCCACATACTTAACTATGTGAATTACATTTTTACTTAATTCTTCATATTGGTCTTTTGATGTTGTCCATAAAAACTTAAGTCTTACGCTGAATCTATACATTTTGCTTTGAGACCAAAATATTGTCAAAAAATTATTAAAACAGAACTTGCGTTTTCAGAATAAGAAAGGGTCTGGGAACGCTCAGAAAGCACGATTTTGCATCATTTGTTCTATAGTTTCTTTGGGCCTTCAGCGGCTTCAAAACCCTTCAAATTTTTTTTGCCTCGCTCCGCTCGTCGTAAATATATTTGGCAATACTTTTAAAAGAGGCTAGTCACAGCCCAACTCTAATACCGTGTATGTATGCAATACATGTATATGCAGTTTGGAATTCATAAGATTCATTTCCGCAGAGGATGATGATTAATTCTGATTAAATGGTACATTGATGACTTGACTGTACATGTATTATTTATAATAAAAAATGAATTTAAAAATTTTATGTTTTCAAATATTATCAATATAGTTATGAAAATAAATATAAGTCCCTTGTTCTAATGAAAATGAAAAATCTTGCTTCAACAGTGCAGAAAATAAATAATCTGTCCTCTTAGTTTACAAAAATAAATAACCGATCCAAAACAAATCCTCCTGCCCCCCACCCCCTCCCCCAGAATATCAAATAGTCGTCCCCTAATGGTTTGTATAGCCTGGTCGCCTGTTTGTCACTGTAAAAACGATTTTCAGTTCTATCACGTTGTAGATAAACTGTACGTTGTAACAATTGGTCTGGATGAGAATACATTTGTGTTCATTAGGTGTATCAATTATACATATGCCGCCATACGTTAAATCAGTGTTGAATTATTTAAATAACTTATTTTAATGTATATCATAGTTTTCGGTTTATACTTAAGTCTTACAAAAATATAAAACAAACATACCAGGCAAAAACAACAGAAAAACATCCTGAATGCTGAAAATAAAAGAAATATCATGATAGATAAGGGAACTAAATATATTACCATCTTAAATACAATCTCATGTCTCCATTGTAAGCATTAGCATCACTACAGTGTATTTTTTTGGAGACACAATGAAATGAATGAGGCATGATCTTATTTACATTTTTTTGCAACTTTACAACAAACAACGATAAAATGATATTGTACAAATAATCAGGGGGTAATTTATAAACTGCACTGAAGTAAACCAAATTATGTAAAATAAAAAGACATAATATTATCTGGAATAAAGTGTATAGAATGCCACTTTACATAAATAAACATTCAACATTACAGTGGCTCCAATACAGGATCACTCACAGAGTAAGGGGGAACACCGAATTTCTCTGTAAAATTAAACTCATACAAAACAATTGATACACTTTCTGTATGGGCTTAATAGAAACCATAGAACACTTATTCTCGACTTATCCAAAAGTAGTTGACATATGGGGAGAACTTAATAGATGGATATATACAAAAGTCCAAATTGAACTACCGCCTTATTAAACAACAGTTTTATTTGGGATATTAGACAAGACTGAAAAAACTACATTAGAAGCCTCATAATATTGTTAACTAAATATTGTATATATACAAAACATAAATGCAAAGCGGACAAGTAAATATTGTAGCTTTAAAAAATTATCTTAAAGAAAAAATTATTAATTGAAAAAAATCATATTTTATAAACATAAAGCATTGTAAAGAGCGTACTTCTGGTGGAAACCATGGCTCCAACTAATAGAATAATTAACACCAGTACACTTGATAACCCCGCCACATTCTAAATATGTATGTATAAATAAGAAGATGTGGTATGAGTGCCTATGAGACAACTCTCCATCCAAGTCACAATGTATAATAAAGTGCTTCGCTGAGCGCAGCCTGATACGACCGCAGAGGTCGAACCATGAACAGTTGGGGTAAAGTTTGGACACAATATTCAAGCTTGATACTGTCTGAATTTGGATTGTGATAAAATTTTTGACATAATATAGGTTTCTGACACAAAATAAATGTGGTCAAAGATCTTAAAAATTTGAAATGGGACATTAAATTTACCTACAATGGTCTGATATCCAAAATCTAACAACATGGTTAGATTCAAAATATAAAAAAACACCAATATTTAATTTTAGTTGAAATCAAACAAAGTTTAATTTTGGACCCTTCAAACCTTAATATGAACTAATTTGAAAACAGGGCCCAAAATAAAAATCTAAATGCACAATAAGATTCAGCAAATCATACAGACGCAATAATTCAGTTTTTGATGAAATCAAACAAAGTTTAATTTTGGATCATTTTGACCTCAATGCAGACCAATTTAAAAATGGGACCCAATATCTAAAAAAATTATACAAGGTTAGAACCCCAAAAAATTAAAGACTAAATTAATCCCATCGAAATTGGTTAAAACATTTGTATTTGTTTTCAATTGAAGATGTCTTGCTATTGCGCAATACTGTGCAATTGAAGATTTCTTGCTATTGTGCAATACTGTGCTATTTCCAAATACTGTGCAATTGAAGATTTCTTGCTATTGCACAATACTGTGCAATTGAAGATTTTTTGCTATTGCGCAATACTGTGCAATTTAAGATTTCTTGCTATTGCGCAATACTGTGCAGTTGAAGATTTCTTGCTATTGCGCAATACTGTGCTTTTGTGCAATATTGTACAATTGAAGATTTCTTGCTATTGCGCAATACTGTGATATTACACAATACTGTGCTATTGCGCAATACTGTGCAATTGAAGATTTCTTGCTATTGCACAATACCGTGCTATTGTGCAATACTGTGCTATCGCGCAATACTGTGCAATTGAAGATTTCTTGCTTTTGCCAAATACTGTGCTATTGAAAAATACTGTGCTATTGCACAATACTGTGCAATTGAAGATTGCGAAAATTTGAAATTTCAAAAATTTTGAAGAAAAAAAATGACCCCCCCCCTAAAAAAAATGGAAAAAAATCCCCCAACTTTTTGAACACCCCCCCCCCCCCCCCCCCCTTTGGAGTAATTATCACCAAACTCAATCCCAGCCTCCGCTTTATGGTATGGATATAGTACAATTTTAGAGAGATCCATACACTTAAACACAAGTTATTGTCTGGATACTAGAAAAATGCTTGTTTTTGGCCCCTTTTTTGCCGCTAACTTCCTTCTGTGGTATTGAACCTTCTGGTAATAAAATGTTCCGCTGGGCGCAGCTTGATACGACCGCAGAGGTCGAACCCTGAACAGTTGTGGCAAGTATGGACACAACATTCAAGCTTGATACAGCACTGAATTTGGATTGTAATTAAATATTTGACACAGCATAGGTTACTGACACAGAATGAATGTGGTCTAAGAACTTAAAAAAATTTAATTTACCTATTCAAACCATATCATTATTATTTTCTTTTATATATAAATCAGAAATAACCAATTAAAAATGGAAAATTTTAAAGAAAAAAAAAGGAAAAAAAATCCCCCCCCCCAAAATTTTTTTTTAACCCCCTTATGATTCATCACCCCAAAAAACTCAATCCCAGCCTTCCCTTTGTGATATGGTACCGTGCAGTACAATTTCAGAGAGATCCATACACTTGAACACAAGTTTTTGTCTGGAAACTAGAAAAATGCTTGTTTTTGGCCCTTTTTGGCCCCAAATTCCTAAACGTTAAGGGCAATTACCCTCAAACCCAGCTTTCCCTTTGTGATATGGAACCTTGCAGTACAGTTTCATAAAGATCCATACACTTACACACAAGTTATTGTCCTGAAACTAGAAAATGCTTGTTTTTTTGCCCCTTTTTGGCCCCTAATTCCTACAATTTTGAGGCAATTACCCCCAAAATCAATCCCAGCATTCCCTTTGTGGTATGGTACCCTGCAGTACAATTTCAGAGAGACACAAGTTATTGTCTGGAAACTAGAAAAATGCTTATTTTTGGCCCCTTTTTGGCCCCTTATTCCTAAACGTTTTGGGCAATTACCCCAAAACTCAATTCCAGCTTTCCCTTTGTGATATGGAACCTTGTAGTACAATTTCAAAAAGATCCATACACTTACACACAAGTTATTGTCATGAAACTAGAAAAATGCTTGTTTTTTCCCCTTTTTTGGCCCCTAATTCCTAAAATTTGGAGGCAATTACCCCCAAAATCAATCCCAGCATTCCCTTTGTGATATGAAACCTTGTGGTACAATGTCAGAGAGATCCATACACTAACACACAAGTTATGTCTGGAAGTTACAAAAATGCTTATTTTTGGCCCCTTTTTGGCCCCTAATTCCTTAACTGTTTGTACCATAACCCCAAAAATCAATCCCAACCTTCCTTTTGTGGTATCGAACCTTATGGTAAAATTTCAAAGAGATCCATTCACTTAAACTAAAGTTAGAGTGAAAAAACCAATGTGTCTTCGGACGACGACGACGACGCCGGACGACGACGATGACGACGACGCCAACGTCATACCAATATACGACCGCAAAATTTTTTTGCGGTCGTATAAAAATTCATAGAGTTCCATTTACTTAAACTAAAGTTATTGTCCGGAAACCAAATGTGTCTTTGGACGACGACGACATCATAGCATTATACGACGCAAAAATATTTTTGCGGTCGTATAAAAAGTTAACACTTATAGGTCAAAGTACGGCCTTCAACACGGAGCCTTGGCTCACACCGAACAGCAAGATATAAAGGACCCCAAAATGAAACACCTATGAACCACACCAACAAACAAAAACCACTGAACAAACGGCTCTTGGCTTAGGACAGGTGCATATAAATGCAGCGGGTTTAAACGTTTTAACAGGCGCCAACCTTCACCCTAACCTAAAACAGTAGTGTGTCTGTCCCAAGTCAGGTGCCTTGAATTCAGTGGTTGTCGTTTGTTGCTGATTATCATATTTGTTTTTTGTTCATTGTTTTGTAAATAAATCAGGTCGTTAGTTTTTTCGTTTGAATTGTTTTATTTTTGTTATTTCAGGGACTTTTATAGCTGACTATGCGGTATGCATGGGTTTTGCTCATTGTTGAAGGTCGTATGTCATTTGGTCTCTGGTGGAGAGTTGTCTGGGTTTTTTACCATTATTGTTTGTTCATGAGTTTGTCAACTGATTCAAAGAAACAACTATGTGCATTTGGTTTTTTTTTATTTTGCGGATTCGACTATGGACTAATTACCGTAATTATAATATATAATATTGATACATGTATTTTTGCAAATAAATACATTACAAAAAAAATGCACTGAAGTGCATTTATGTTCATTGGTCATTTCATCAAAATCAATAAATCAATGTAATTTGGCGCCGTAGTTTTAATGATGAATCTAGTTTTTCAATCTTTTGTGTTCTGTATAGTGTTTTGTAATTGTTGTTTATCTTTTAATATTTTTATTTTTATTTTTATTTTTGGCCATTGTGTTGCCTGTGTTCGATTGGACTTATGATTGCAGTTCATGTAGCGCATTTCTTCCACATTTGAGAAAAAAAGTAACTATATACAATATTAGCTCAATATCAGAAAAAAATCTACTTTAAATTAGTCTACTGTATTTGTGTACTTTTATGTATACACATGATATATATAGACAAATTGTTTTCAATCACAATTTGTATAGTTGTTAATTATTTAAAGATGTTTTATCTATCTTGGAATGGAAAAGGAAATACTGTAAAGACGATTTTATTGTGAAGATAAATCCGATGCAATACTAGGTCTTGCAGTGACAACACACCAGCTTACTGAACTAATTTATTTATTTATCTAACAAAGTCATGCATGTTTATGACAAAAAATATCACTGGAGTTTTAGATTTCCATATGCTTCCATATCCAGCGTCGACCAACCGTTAATGCGAAGGCAACATATTAGAATTGAATAACTGTAACGTTTTTTTTACGAGTATAAATGTTTTATGATGTGTCTATGAATGAAAGGAGAAGGTGATAAACGTCAATAAGGCAGCAACCCTACGCAACGAAACAATAATCTATAGA